AGGGGTGAGTCTTCCTTTTAATTAATTATTATTTACCACAGTTTCCTTTTTCTACATGAACATTTTCCAAGTATAGTAGGAAATAGAGAAAGGAAAAAAAAATCGAAACTACCATACGTGAAGCCCTATTTCGATCTTATTAAATCTCATTAGCACTCCAAGAGCTTGTAATGTGGTTCACGTGCCTATCACACGTGTAATAAATTGTGTCATCTATTAAGTTGGGCTGGTAGACACTATTAAGGCCCCTATCTAATAACACACTAAATACATCAGCCACAGTATCCAAAGATTGTCAACATTTTTTCGAGTGTTTATAGTTTTTCTTACAAAAAAAGATAGTACACTTCAAAATAATGTAGTATCCGCCTACTTTATTAAAAGTGAAACCATAAAAGATAAAGTGTATGAGAAATAGGGGGGGGGAGTGTAGGATATTATAAGACATAATGCGAATGGCCACTACTAGACTAATACTTGAACATTTGCCCAGTAATTGATTGCGCAACTGTAAAGTTACTCGAACTGTAATGTGCGAGTTACTGCTGTGTTAGTAAGGCATTTGTCTGTTTTTGACTTTGGTATTGGAAAAAAGTTAAATTGGATTCCATTCTCCTGAAGTATAGTATTTCTGCGTACTATATATTCAACAAAATTTGTTCTTATGGAGAGAAGAAATATTATGGAAATAGTAATGTTACGATTTTTTAGCCTCTCAAAATGTTACACGTCTTTTCTTTCATTATCTGCATTTTTCGATGATTCTGGTGGTTGCAGGAAAATATATTTTCAAAGAAATTAAAACATTTTTAAAAAAAAAAAGATATTAATAGCAACTTCTATCATCACCATCATCATAAGGTCTTTAGCCCAAAAATTAGTTGGACACGAACCTCCACTTCGTCCTTTCTTGAGTCAATCTTTATCCCAAAGTGGAGCAACCTACATCTTTAACTAATCGCGAACAATAATCTAGCCCAGTAGCCGACAAAACCATGGCCCCATGCGGCTCTCTAGTTCCTTGGGTGTGGCTCTGCCGCAGATGATTCCATGCGGGCACTACCGATGGTTAAAGTAGCGTCCAAAACTAGCGCATGATCCGTAAGTTAATGAATATCAGCTCCCGCTTAACACTTAAAGTAGTGTGGGATTCGTCAGTTTTTGGTAAATGGAACGATTAACTCATGATAGGAACGTTTGCATCCAACTAGTCTCTGGAATTGTGACCCTATGATGATGATAATGTAATATATGACTCTTTGATACCTTGGTTACCTTGTTTTCCTTGGCATTTTGGTTCTTCGGACTATAAAGTTTGGGTAATTGTCCAGAATGGGGGCTCCAGACCAAAGACGCTCTAAAACTTCTATTATCTACGTCTAATCGATGGAAAATTTTTTATAGCTAATTTGGTCTGGAGCCCCAATTATGGACAATTACCAAAGTTTGTCGACTCCTGTTCTAACCTATGTCTACATCTACTGATCTTAACTTCTGTTTCTTGTATGCTTCTGTAGTAATGTCTCTAATTAGCCCTGCTTGTCCTATCAATCTATCTCGCCTATTTCTTATTGATTCCATAACGCCCTCAGTTCTCCTACTCATTCTAATGCCTCCTCACTTCAAATTTTTTCTATCCACGACATTTTTAATATCCTCCTACACTATCTTCTGACCTTTCCTTTTTCCACAGTGCCCACCGTCCACGTTTCCAGTCCGTACAGAGCTGTGCTCCAAACACGCGTTTAAATATCGTTTTCATATTTCCAAACTAATGACAAAAAGCATTTTTTTTTTGAAACTGAAATTTTCTTCTTTCCACAAGATTTTTTTTTAAGTACTTACTCACTCAGAGAAAATACGACATTCCTTCCCGAATGTTCACTGCCACCCGAGCTGAAAAGTTTTTCCTGACTCAAGGACGAAAAACGCAATGTAACCTCCTAGGTAAAATATCGCATTTATTACTATTTATTGACAAAGCCGAAGACGAGGGAAGAAACCACGCGGAATATGATAAAACCTTTTCCCGGTAAGGGAATAAGTACCTAAATGCGATTTGTAATGGAATGTTATACTTTGTCCCTGAAATCGGGAACAACCACCATACTTTCGACAGGGATATAATAAAAAATTATTTTATTTTCAATTATTTTGTACAATATTTTGAAAATATTTATACCACCCTAACTATTTGCGTATATAGGAGGTTGAATGAGTAATATGCTTTTTATATAACATTTATTCAAAACACAATATCTCTTTTAGAAAATATTACAAATGGCGCAGTAAACGCCATCTGTAATACGATGCTACATTTTAGGATTACGTATGCTCCAACAAGGTCCTTTTAAGTATATGGATATCTACTTGCTGAAACGAATCCCGGCGTAGCTAACCTCAACGTGATAGGCACGTTACCATAATCGAATAAAATAATTCGAAGTGGTCTGTATTCTGTCGAAACTGCCAGACGCGGATCGCGATTTCGATCTTTTTGGATCTCATCAGCGCGTCGCAG